TAAGGCGGGATTATCGAGATGTGCAGAGTTATGCTCATAGTAATCATGCCACAAGGATTTGAGGTCTTCCTTGAACGAGTCATCTCGTAGAAGATAGGCGGGGAATCTCCAGGTGACTGGCCTGGATGGCACACCAAGGTTGCGGATGGACATGGATACAGGGGAGTGGTCCTATATGAGCATGACCTCAATCGTGACGGATTGGACGTTGTTCAATAGAGAGGGGGATATCAAGCAGAGGTCAATGTGGGAGAAGACATTATGTGCTGGTGAATAAAAAGTAAAATCTCTCTCCAGGGGGTGTAGGAATCTCCATGCATCGATCAAACCACTGGCCTGTAGCAAGACATCCAAATGTTTATCTTGGGCACTGGCGGTACGTTGAGTGTTGCCGGACTCCCCCATCCGGTCCTCCCCAGGGGAAGGGACTGCATTGAAGTCTCCTGCAATCATGACCCGGAGGTTCGAGGGGTGTTTGGCGACAGATTCCAATAGGTGAGTACAGAAGGGCTGGTTGTCAGAATTGGGCGCGTATACATTTTAGATATCCAGCGACCTATTGCCAACACTCAGTGTGTGGGACAGTGTGTGAGACAGTGTGTGGTAGAGATTTGTGTATCAAGGTAAGAACTCCAGCAGACCGACCCTTCGCAGGGGCCCCTACTACAGTACCAAACCATAATCTTTTCATCCGAAAGAAATCGTCTGATTGTACATGGGTCTCCTGAAGAAGAGCAATATCCGCTCCAAGTTTTTTAAGGTGGCGAAGGATTCGTGACCGCTTTTGTGGGGATTTGAGTCCCTTGACATTCCACGTCACTACCTTCAAGGGGGATCCCATGATGTAATGACGTGAGGTAGAGAAAAAAGATCTTGTACAAATGAAGGTGGATGCCGGAGGTAAGCGAGCGTCCCAGTGCTCCCGCCAGGTCCTGTATGTCCCGTACCCGAGGTACGAATTCTTGCAGCTAATAACGTAAACAGCGTAATCCGGATGGGGGGGGAGGGCCCCGTGCTGATCCTCCCATTGCAGCAGTATTGACCACATTCCTGAAGAAGGAAAGAGAAAGCCAACAGTAACAGAAAGCAAAAAAGAGCAAGAGGAAGTCCGCAACACATTTGAGCGACCTCCTTTTTTCCCAACGATGTGTCAGAGAATGGTGGGCATTGTTTTGCCGGTGCAGAGATGCAGTCCACCTTGATTGAAAACACAAAATCAAAATCAGTGGCATCTTACTATAAGACACCGACAACTGTAAATGCTCCGTCCCTGAGCAAAGGATAAATACACATAGAAAACGTCACCTGGGTGACAACCTGTAATCAACTGTATGTTGCAGAAGTGAACAGTTTAAGCATTCCACACCCGCAGCGGTACGGAGCCTGCATGAGAGAACCTGATCATCGAACCTCCTTGAGTGGACCGGTCGTCTGACCCATATCAAGCTTTTTTCTTGCGTGGAGGGCTCTTGATTGGTGAGGACAAAGACTTGTCACAGAGAGCTTGTACAAATTTTTTTGCTTCCTCGACAGAGGTGAAAGATTCCACTCGACCATCAGGCGATGTGATGCGTAGCACAGCAGGATATGCCAGGGTGAACTTAATGCGTCTATCCACAAGTAGGCTACAAGTTTCAGAAAATAGCCTGCACTGTTTCGACAGTGCTACTGAGTAATCGGCAAAAAGGAGGATTTTGTGACCCCCAGCCAGCAGTTGCCGCTGAGTGCGATAAGCCTGTAGGATTTGGCGTCGGTCAGCAAAGTCCAGATATCGCACTATAGCCGGTCTGGGTTTCTGGTGATCTTTTGGTGGGCCAAGCCTGTGAGCGCGTTCCACCTTACAGGCAGCTGAAAGACCTAGAGCTTGCGGTATCACAACTGAGCAGAAGTGAGCCAGTTCTTTCGGCGCCACAGATTCAGGAAGGCCCACAATGCGTAGATTGTTGCGGCGTGATCTATTCTTTAGATCATCAATTTTATCCATTAGTAGCTGTATAGATTCTGAATCACGCCTATGATTGATTCTCATGGAGTGTATCTTGTCTTCCACATCACTGAGCCTACCCTCAGCAGCCTGCATACGTTTGCCTTGTGACTCTATGGCTGCATTGATAAAGCTCAGCTGTTGTTGCATCACCTCAGTAATAGTGGAGGCAATATCATGTTTTAGATAGGAAGCCATTGAGGAGGCTAGAGTTTGATAGTCAATAGGTAGTGTAGGAGGCAGAGGAGGTGACTCACCAGCTGGTTCTGTGAGTGACATGGGCTGCACGTCTCCCGGATCCGCCATCTTGGATGTGACACTGACTGTGTCTGAAGGGGGAATGAGAGCGCGTCTCGTCGGCAGCGATCTGGACCAAAATCTCTCCATACCCTGCGGGGGTAGGAGGAGAGTCTGTCGGGTGTTTAGCGCCGGTGTGCTGCGGGTGTGGGGGATGTTAATCCGATCGGTGGGACGGAGCTGAGCGGGACACAGCTAATGCATTGGAGCGCCGGAACCGGAAGTCCAGGCTTGTTTTCATCTAAAATCCTGCAAAGCAGTACACAGTGGGAAGTCTGAACTTGTTTGAGACAAACCGTCTTGATACAATCAAGCACCCGTGAGTACTCACATCTCTGACTTTACACACTGTCTGATTGAACATTTCTTCCATGTGTGTTTATACTCGGGGTAAAACAGCAGAAAGGCATCATGGCACACTCACAAAACCAGCATGTAAAACAACATGTCTCACCACTAAGGAGAATGACAGAGGTTTGGATACACGTCTTCAGCCGAGGATGTGTAAGCCGCACTGCCGCGCCAAGGCACCTCTTATAGTGCCCATTTCGTGTGCACCTTACTGTATAACTGGTAACAAATTGTTGAGTGCGTTTGTCGTTTGTTTATACTCGGGGTGACGCAAATAACAGAATCTGCACAAGATGTGTCCTGTGTATTCAATATGGGAGCTCATGAAAAAAATCCGTCTTTATAGCGGCCTGTTTTACATTGAGAGCTGTGGCTACAAATGTAATTGACTAAGTGCTACAATATTGCCCCTTGGAACTACCAAGCTTTCAGATACCTTGGAGAGGTTCAAATACAGATTAAGGGGTTCCATAGCTTACTGCTACAGTGCATCTCAAACTGAGTTACACGCCTTACGTTGCACATATAACCTTAGCGCTGTTTATCAAAGAACTCAAGTTCACCGGTTTCAAACATTTACGCTGCTCAGCCCGTCCTAGTGTGCATGTTTTTGGTATGAGTGTTTTGGTTGTTGCAATAACCTTTTAATTGAATAACAGGTGGTGGCTAGTTGGTGTGTGTTCATGACCAGTAATTGTATCCATTTCAAATACATTTATTCATTTTTGACCTACATTTGACCCCCCGACCCTCATTTAGAGAGACTGATCTGAGTTGCTGAATCGGAGAGGACCCGATTGAGTGCCTGAAGTGAGGTCCGGTGACGTGGTTAATGCAAAGGACATTGAAGAATATATATGTGTGTGTGTGCAAATGCATGTTTTTACACATAAGTGTCATAGAACACAGAACACAATGCATTGTGAATGGAGAAGGTAGAGCTGAGTGGATAAACAACAGTACAGTTTCTGTGTATGAGAGTCTCAGCACAGAAGTATAGCAAGAGCTATACTATCCAGCATCAATGAAACTAAATAAAAAAGCAATGGTTGCAATCCTAAAGTTGGCATACACCTCATGAGACTTAACCATTTGATACGCAGCACAGTTTAATATAAAAAAATACCTGGAGTTCTGTCTTAAAAGGATGCTATCATACATGTCATATTACACACACACACTATAGCTTTGACTGTATTTGTCAATGATGGCAGGCTTACTGCCTTTACCCCACTGCACCTACAAAGTACTCAGTCATACAACCTTAAAGTCTATTCAAGCTCACAATTCTGGCCAGCATGCTTATTCCTTTGATGTTATTGAACAAAAATCAGGTCCTCCTGGCAGGTTCACAGGCAGTTGTATGCTTTCCATATATTCTCCCCTCCAACCAACCAACAATAATCCATTAAGATTTTATTATTGCCAAGATTCTGCATTCATATCTCAAAGTAACCTACTTTTCCACTTCTGACAATCTTAATATCTTTGCCTCACCTTCTCCAATTTTATTTCCCTACACCCAGTCTAACCCATGTATCCAGACCCAGCTACCATCTAGGTTTTAAAGAACAGTCCTCTCTGGTTCAGAATAAGGTAAATCCTACCAAAAGCACACTGTCCTTACCCTGCCAGTCCTCAGCCTTGGCATTCTTTGTCATGCTAGATTCCTATAGAGAACTCTGGGTGATGGTTAATGCAGAGAAAATGACACTTCTTAGGTATATTTCAATTACCACTAAATCCAATTTCTGCTGCCATAAAAACAGTTTTTATTGTCCACGACTGAGATAACTACAAACATGATAAAAAGTGACACAATACAGCATCTTAACTAACTGGCATTTTCATATGCTTCTGTGATTAATTCTCCATATACCTTGTTCACTCCACCTTAATTATTCTGCCCAACTCTTTGCCAAAACCTCTATTCTGGTTCCTGCAGTGGCTGACCTATGCAATCTTTTCATCTCCAAGGATATCTCACACTCTGCCTTCAAACACACAATCATAATTATTATACTAGAGAAATATTCTAATCAGCTTTCCCTTCCATCTAGCTTATGCCCTATTTCTTCGATATACACCTATTTCTCAGACCTCAGTCATTGATCAACTGGGTCTAGTGTTTCTTCATCTATTAGACTGTTTTGTTAGGGGTAGGTAATTTGCATCCCTTTACATTTGATATCAATGTAAAGGGATGCTGTGTAATATTTTGGTGCCTTTTGTTAAAAGAAATAGATTGTAATTAAAGCAAAAAAGTTAAAATGATGTATATTGTGTATGTACCACCAAGTAAAAAAAAAAAACCCTGTTCATCAAGTAGCAAAATAGCAGCAAAATTATCTATATAACTAATACTTACTGGCAACTTGTCACTTATCATTCCAAGTAGCGGTGAACTTAGAGAATAAGCTAAAGCGAGTCCAAGAAATACTAGCCCAACATATCCAACTTTCAAATGAAACTGAAGAAAAACATTAAAAAGATATTTAAAAATTAAACTCAAACTCTTAGCTTATAATTCAAGGTGCTTGTAAAATTCCTACATTTTGAAATACTTAGACCAGAATAAAAACTGCAGATTAAGCATTTTAACATTTATTTTCCTAATCCTATGGCATCATGCAAAGTTCAGGCAAGATGCACATGGTGAGCAAAGATAGATTACGCCCTTATGTTTATTTTTTTTTTAATCTTTGTGTTTTTCTTCCTTATAGAGCATAAGTGTTTATTGTTGGTGCTATTTTTTGTAACATTAACATAAGAAAACCCAAGTTTATAATCTGTGCCATAAAGCATAATGCACTTCCGAAAGAGGTCACAGCATTCAAAATGTTGTTGAATGCAGGTCCTTTGTTGGTATATACGTTTATGGGACATAGATTTATTAGAGATTTCCATAAAAAGTAACAATATTGCCAGATTGCACACATCAAATTTGCATCATTTTACAAAATGACTTTCTTACTATCACAAGGGGAGTAACATGCCTTTAGATGCTATAAAAACAGGAGGTGACAAGCGCTATTTATGGAGATGGCAGGGTTTTACATTAACCACAATGTCTCTTCTCCATGATTAGTCACAGTAGAATAGAGACAGAGAGTTCTTAATCTGCAGCTCAGTTGACTGGTGTCACGAATAATGTGAAGCTCTGAATCCAGAAGGGTGAAAAGTTAAGCACTTCTGGGTTCATTCAACACAGAAAATATCTGTGAATTCGAGTTCACGGATCTCCCTCAGCTGTGCACCTTAGTGTGGTCTGCAGTAGTCTCGGGCTAAAACAAAAAACAACCCTTAAACTATACTTATACATTATGTAAATATAGTGCAAAACTCTAGACAGGATTTGTTCCACTAAAAGTGTACAAGGTAGCAAAAAAAGAAGTCTTACTGTTTCTATCACAAACAAAGACATGGTTGGGTCCAAAAATCCTAGACACGAGCTCAGTGAAAAGATGGTAAAAGACATTACCATAACTTTAGGTAGTGTCACTAAGGCCCAGAAAGAGTCCTTAGTTGGTAAAGAATCTGCAAAAATAAAAAGAGAAATATATTTGACCAATTCTCAGCATATGAGAAGTTTCAACACCACATTCATAAACTGGAAAATTTAGCAGATAATTCCCTAGCTCAGTACCCTTTTCAAGAGGAGTCTTCCAAAATATTATAGTGCACTATTGAAATAAAACACATTTCAGACTTAGGGGTCTATTTATAAACAATTTGCAGAGCTATTTGTGCTGAGAATTCTGTGTAAATATAAGCAAAAACAAATGTTCTTAGTAGGTTTTCTTTTCAGGTTAAATGCACTATTTCAGAGAAGAAAAAAAAACACGCTTTATGGCCATTAGCTGGAGTTGAGAAGCACAGGAAATAAAAGTATTTCCTATGTTCTAGTGGCCATAATGTGGCATTTTCCAAATTATATATTCAACCTGAAAGTAAAAATACTAAGAATGTTCATTTTTGCCTCTGTTTGGTCAGAACAAATGTTCACAGAGATTCGCAGGGCGGATAGAGGAAAAAACTAAGCTGTAGGAACCCATGTTAGGTCTATGGGGATTTGGATTGAAACAAACGTGTTTGTTTACATCCAATTACTCCAATCCATCACCATCAGGGGTAATCAGATGCAAATGGATACAGAACAAGGACCCTCCCACTCTGCAGTGAGGAAGAGAAAACACTTATACTTTGGGACCTGACACATCAAGTTCAGCATCAATTTAGGTAAGTGAAGGGTTTTTAAAGCTGACATAGGGATTAGTTAGGTGGGGTGAGTGGGTCATCTTTAATACTCTAAAGGCCCGTTCACATTAGAGCTGCTTGGAGTGCAAAAGCAGCTTGATGCAGGTCAGAAGGCGGAAAACTGCAGATCTAACACATCAATAAATTCTAAATGACCTTAGAACCATCTTAATCTGATGTCAAAAGCACATTGCAATCGACAGGAGCCCAAAGTCCATTGATACAGGCCCTAAGCCAACAACTTGGAATGGAAGCCAATAACTTGGAATGCACAGATCAGGAGAACTTCACTTGCTGTATGATTCAGTGACTCAGAAATTATTTCTACTTTTGCAGCCAAATCGGGGTACTACTTACTTCATATTTGTTGCACATTCTTATCCACATAGTACAACTTAAAAAACATTTTTTGTGTGTATATTACTTGCTTTTTCCTAAAGGAAAGGTTTTTCTAAACTGAATTTTCCTCTAGAATGGGAAATTAACCCTGTCTGTACTGGCAAATCTTAATATCTGTTGTAAACTAAATTTGAACACTGTCTGTCCTAACAAAGGGTTACAGAACTAGAAGCATTGTAAGTTAATGAGGGGGAGCTCAGAGTGTCACTAGTCTTTCTATGGTGAAAACCAGGGTCTCTGGACACTTTTAAATTGAGAAGCTACAAGGCTAGCCACACATACATCTAAAAAGTAAGAAATATTTTTCAATTATTTTTAGATGTATTGTATACCGTACACATACACAGATAGTTATGTGTTCCAATTCACACAGTATACCTAACATAGAGGGGTTTTCTTGGCTGCAAAAGGGTTAGTTTACCTTTCTTTCTGCACATTTTTCAAAAAATGCACCATGCTTTCCATCATCCCCTGCACATTGCAAAGCACTGTTCAGATGTAAAAAATGCTGCCCCTTTCCTATTGCATATCTGTAGGTCCTGCACAGCCTATCTGCAAAAACCTCTAGGTGGTCGACCCTCCTGCCATTTAGCCAGGACGGGAAGGATGTAGAATTGCACCACCAGCGGCTGCTTCTGGCCCATGTGCAGTGTGCTCCCTCCCCTGCTACAAGGAGCAGCAGAGCTTAGCTGCTGTTGATAGAGGGAGAGAGAGTGCACTGCGCTTGTGCTCAGTTTAAACAGGCCAGGAACGGCCGATGGGGCTCACGCCTTACATCCGGCACATCCTGCTGTTTAGCCAGGACAGGGGGGTTGACCACTAAAAGATATTTGCAGACTGGTCATGTAGGACTTACAGATAGGCAATAGGAAAAGTATAGCTTTTTAACATCTGAACAGTGCTTTGCAATGCGCTGGGGGTAATGGAAAGCATGGGGCATTTAATCCAACCCTTTAATCCAGCAAGGCAAGTAAGGTTTTCAGTTCCAGACAATTATATACTGTACACAACTGTGTTGTATATGCCCTTATGTGCCCTTTCTATGTGCCCTTATGATGACTAATGCATTTAATGCAAAGTGGAAAAAAGTCAGTCATCACACAGAGTTCAAATGTGACCTTAGTTTTGTAATAAGCATTGTATCCCTCTGCATCCATTTGAATGTGCAGCACTGAAACATAAGAAAGATTAGATTGCCGGTAGACATTTCAAATGATGTCTTTAATTTAACCTCAAGCTCTGTGCAGGTTTAAAGAAAAAGCAGAAAGACAATTACATGCTGTAAGCAGGGGTAAGAATTCTAGGAAAGTAATTTACTATGCAATGACCATTGTTTCAAGGCTACCATTTCTGCCTGTTTTTGGAAATCATAGTAGAATGCAAATTGTATTAGAAAAGCAATTTTTAATACTATTCATTTATGAGTGGCTTGCATGGCAATTATATCATTTTTAGGGAAAAAGGGTTTCTTTGAAATGTAATTTAGCACAGTTTTATCACAATGATGCTTATTTAGCTACATATAATTTACAATACATGTTCTGTAGTCATGGAAGAAATAGGTAATTAAAAAGATTTACAATTTTGCATAGCCTGATTGCTCAGCAATAAGTGTAAACACTGTAAAATAATATTTCGAGAATAGATTTTCTGACTAATAGAATTATTTTCCAGGCTGTGGAAAAACTCTAAAATAGCTTCATTCATCAGCATGGTATCACAAGTCAACATGTGCTTTCTATTTCTGTATTCCTTGCCCTGAATATCTGACCCCTTCATTTTTCAAAACATATGATAGAAAACGTATTGCACTTCTAGATGTGATGTTTCTCTGAACTTTGTAAGGGTCTCTTCTGCCACAATCCCTGATGGATTTGCTTCAGTTCAACAGCATACTTAGAGTGAACCTGCTCTCCATTTCAAACTGTAAAAAGTCCTGCCTAGCAGCATGCACCACTACTTTATTAGCTAAAAAAGATTAGTCTTTGCCTCTCTTTGAGCTGATTTCACTTTGTAATAGAGTTTCAGATATGCACGACTTTGTGACGAAACTCTATCAACTGCCAGTCCACTGTCTGAGAGATGGACATAGAAGGAGCTGGATTTGTTTGGATGTTCATGGACATGAAGTGGCCTCTAGCCTGCTGGAACCTGCTCTTAACACCGAGATTTTGTAGCAGTAGCTGTACAACACCCAGAAGAATTCACAGTAAACGTCTGGCAGGAGAGGTGACAGGCAAGTCTATGACTTTGGTGGGGCACAATTAAAGGATAAAGTACAGCTATGCTTTTAATAGTTGTAGCAAAAAAATAAGAAATCAGACCAGAGCACTACAAAATACACATGTATTAAAGCACTGAAAATGTACATACCATATTGTGGCAAGATGTACATATTTAGTGGCACCATTAAGAAGACAACACAACCAATGGCAATAAAGGGAACTTCATATCCAAATGTCTGGTACAGTGATCCTCCTATTGGAGGGCCCAATACAAGTCCAAGCCCAGTAAATATTTCAAGAAATCCCTGAAGATTAAGTAAAATAAAAATTAACAAAAGAATAAGCATCATACTGGGTACAATAGTTATAGTGCACCTGTGCCCAGACTATGAACATTATGGACACATTCACACTGGTGCGATGTGTTAGCAGTGCGGGATGTGCGATGCTTTGCCATTCATTTGAACATGGTAGTGCGCGTTGCAGCGTGATCGAGTGCATTGCCTGTGGGAAGTGCATTTGGAGTGCCATTTAAATTAATGGCAATGCAACGCACCTCCTGCATTGTTAACGCACGGTAGGTGTGTTCTGTGGTGCGGTTCATTCATCGCATGAAACCATGCGATTAACACATTGCACTAGTGTAAATGGGCCCTATATGTTCTACATATTGTTAAAAAGCAGTAAGGAAGCTTTAAGATAAGGCACATCTTGACACCTCTAGCTGCTTGTAATGTGAATTTGTTTTTATATATCCTCAAAAGATCACAACAAAGACAGTACAATGGGGTTTCAGTTGGAATGGCAGGCTGGTCTCATGAAAGAAAGTGAGAGATTTCTTCTTCTGTTGTGAAATTTGAAAATGAGTTTCGCCACAATGCCTATAGATACAGAGGTGAATGCAGGCTTCTTTCTACTGCTTGTTTGAAATATGTAAATACTATATTGTGCATGATATGGCACAGGATCACCTTAAAGGGTCACTAACCAAAAACCTTACACTCGATTTAACACGCATTAAGTTAGTTTGGCCACTGTGTGCTTTAGATTTAAGCACAATGCTTTTCTTGGCTGCTGAATCTAATAGCACATGGTCCAGTGCGCATACCTGTGCAGCTGACACACATAGGTCTCTGATGTCAAATGGAGAGATTGTACTTAAAAACATTTCTTGAAACAATTATTACATTACAAAGGCAGTCTGGCTGAATGTGCCAACATACTGTGAGTCTGAATGTTGGTATGTGGCAGCAGTGTGACTGCCCTTCCTAGGGTGAAAACAGACTTCCTGACACACAGTAAGGAGCGTTTTCCCCCTGGTGCAGAAATTCCATTACTGGTAGGATCAACCAGAGATAGCCTGCATTAGAAAAGCAAGTCCTTTAACTTGTGTGAAGAAGGGTAAGCTGCTATTGGGTACATTTTATTATTAACATTTACATACACTTTAAGGACTGGCACTGCAGTATTAAAAAAAATAATAAATGTGAACATTAAATAGAACGAGTCACGAATGGGCATTTGTAATAATCTGAATCACTCTAATATTATTATAGTGCAGCCTTACCACTAAGGAATTACTTTTTGTTTTTTATATACACTTTAATAGTCCGCTTGTAAGAACCTCAGGTTTTAAGGCTCATGCTTGCTACATTGTATATGCGAGGATAAGCAAGCCATATTGGATATATTTACACGTGAATACAAATTAAACACGAACGGTTAAGATTTCTGTTGCATGCAAGGATATACTCGACATATTAGGTTGGCTTGGAACTTTGCACTACAGCACTTTATGTCTGCTACTTTGTATATACGTAGAGAAACAAGCTATTATGGATATGCTCACATGTGGATGCAAATCAAACATGAACTGTTCAGACATCTCCAATATGCAAAGATACATTTGCTATATCAGGATACAACTAATAGATCAGGCTATGCAGTTTTTGGAAGTGTATTTATATATTCATTTATAGGGTGCTATTTTTAAATGTTAATGTAAAAATTATTGTTGGATAAATAAAATTATGTTTTTGGAATTATATACATAAAATCTCGGTAATGTGCTTCTTAGGGGAATTTTGCATTAACTATTATTAACTATTTAGCGCTACCGATATCATTAACAATATTTGAAATGAGTCTTCCTTACCCCGTTTGTACAATTATATGTGCATGCAAGCTCTACTAGGACTGCTGTAAATGTTCTCTGTAAAGCCTAACAAGTCAGCACTATATTAATAATAACTTTCTTTAAAACTTACCATTGCAGTGGCTATATTGTTAGGGAATACCTTTGCCAAAATAGAAAAGCAAGCTGTTATTGAAGCACCAAAGCCCACAGCATCCACTGATCTGACCAGAAAGCACAAAACTGTAAACATTGTTCCATCTTGAATTTGGTCAAGCAATCTAAAATAAGAAAAGACAACAATTTACTGTCCATGTGATTATGTAACAATTCTGCTAGGGCAACATCAATCAAAAGTACCAGTGTAATTATCTTATACACCATCTAACTAAACAACTGTACAGAGGAGACATACTGTGAATAATAATCAATTATCAAATAACAAAACAAAATGGCCCTGCAGCCCAAAATGCTCAACCTGCAGCCTGAGGGCCACATGTGGTCCTTTAGTACAGCACTTTGCAGACCCTAGCATTCCGTAGTGGAAGCAATCATTTGTGATGGCGCTATAATGACAGTGATCAGGCAGTCTAATGTGGCATGTCCCTAGTCTCTCTCTATCTCCTGTAGTGTGTCTTCAGCCCCCAACCACCCCTGTTACATGTCTGAAGTCTCTGACCATCATATGTCATGTACTTAATATTATGTGCAGCCCTTTGAAGAAGATGTCATGAGCTCCCCCCCCCCCCGGGTTGAAACCCAGAGTTTAGGCTATTACTTAATAGCACAGTGCAGTCTATAACTACAGATTTACTATGGAGTTTGATCAGTACTTGTTTTTGTAGTACCAAGAAAACCCTATCTCGTCCCATGTTTACTTATATTATGAATAGTGGTATGTACAGTACCTAGTACACAACAAAGCATAAAGTTCATATTACTCAAAAAATTAGAAGAAAACTCAATGCAAATGGAAAACGTACCCAAAAAGAACTGTAGCAACTCCAGATGTAAACAAACCTGCTACTAACATAAATTTTGCTCCAATCTGTATTAGCTGTAAGATTAAAAAACTCAAAGTCAGTCAATACTTCTTTATGGCAAATCATATCTCAGTCACCATGTAATATCATCTATCCTATCCAGAGGTGGAATGTGGTCAATAATGTACCCATCGCTATAACGGATGTTATTCATTGTGTTGGCAAATGGTAAGTTACTAACAAATCAAACTACTATGAAACAGGTTGGCCATTGACGGTGGATATCTACTGGAGAATAATGGGGAGGGGTATATTTGCCGTTCCTTCACAAAATTGCAATATTACCTCAATTCTGACAAGTGCAATACGATGATTCTTTCCTCTGCTCCACAGCAGGGAATTTTCCAACAGCCTTAACAATCCTCATGTTCCACCCTGCCACTGCAAGCAACGTTTCAGGCTTGCTGGCCATCTTCAGTGCAGTGTATGGAAATCATGGCTTCAGTGAATTAGGGTTTAGGGACCTTTTGATTCCTTTAGTCCCTCCTCAACATACTTTTCTGGCTTATACTTTCATATTGTTCCCCAAGCCCTACTCCATAGAAGCAATTGTTTGTGCTATACACCAGCAGTCCTGGATGTACAGTTGACAAAGGGGGAAAAAAATTAAATAATTTACATGCCTCCACCCAATTTCCTAAATAGAGAAATAATCTCCATATCTTCTGTTCTAAGAATGGAATGTTTTTAGATGTCATGAGCTCCCCCCCCCCCACGAGTTGAAACCCAGAGTTTAGGCTATTACTTAATAGCACAGTGCAGTCTATAACTACAGATTTACTATGGAGTTTGATCAGTACTTGTTTTTGTAGTACCAAGAAAACCCTATCTCGTCCCATGTTTACTTATATTATGAATAGTGGTATGTACAGTACCTAGTACACAACAAAGCATAAAGTTCATATTACTCAAAAAATTAGAAGAAAACTCAATGCAAATGGAAAACGTACCCAAAAAGAACTGTAGCAACTCCAGATGTAAACAAACCTGCTACTAACATAAATTTTGCTCCAATCTGTATTAGCTGTAAGATTAAAAAACTCAAAGTCAGTCAATACTTCTTTATGGCAAATCATATCTCAGTCACCATGTAATATCATCTATCCTATCCAGAGGTGGAATGTGGTCAATAATGTACCCATCGCTATAACGGATGTTATTCATTGTGTTGGCAAATGGTAAGTTACTAACAAATCAAACTACTATGAAACAGGTTGGCCATTGACGGTGGATATCTACTGGAGAATAATGGGGAGGGGTATATTTGCCGTTCCTTCACAAAATTGCAATATTACCTCAATTCTGACAAGTGCAATACGATGATTCTTTCCTCTGCTCCACAGCAGGGAATTTTCCAACAGCCTTAACAATCCTCATGTTCCACCCTGCCACTGCAAGCAACGTTTCAGGCTTGCTGGCCATCTTCAGTGCAGTGTATGGAAATCATGGCTTCAGTGAATTAGGGTTTAGGGACCTTTTGATTCCTTTAGTCCCTCCTCAACATACTTTTCTGGCTTATACTTTCATATTGTTCCCCAAGCCCTACTCCATAGAAGCAATTGTTTGTGCTATACACCAGCAGTCCTGGATGTACAGTTGACAAAGGGGGAAAAAAATTAAATAATTTACATGCCTCCACCCAATTTCCTAAATAGAGAAATAATCTCCATATCTTCTGTTCTAAGAATGGAATGTTTTGTGCACCACCTGGTGGTCAAAAGTAATTCTGCAGCTCTATTTTTTTTAAGCTTGCATCAGTATTTGATCTCTATAATGAGCAAACTGTCAACATTTTCCTGTGCACAGGAAGATGAAGCATGATCTAAATAGACTTAAAGTAGAACTAAAGTCAAAACTTTTCCTTTAATTTTGGTTTTAGTGGAGAGGGTTTAGAACATACAGACATATTTTCATAGCTATCTGTGTTTGCTTCAAGAAGATTCACACTTTCTATTTGTCCTGTTAAAAGGAGAACTATGAGGCAAGTGAAAAATCACTCAGCCTCATAGTTCTAGCCGACCTGTGACAATTAAACTGTCACAGGTCGGCTCAGTAGATCGGGAAGTGAGAGAACACATACCGGCATTTGCTCACTTCTGAATCTATCGGTGCAGAGAGCCGTGGCTGTCACTCACGGCTCCCTGCAGGGATACCCCCCCCCCCTGTCCGATCCTCCAGCGCTGACTGGCAGAACGGACAGGGGGGGGGGTGGGTACAGCTGGCTCTACCTCTAGATAGGCAGAGCCAGCTGCCACTCACACAGCTGGGTAGATCCAGACAGTAATGTCGGGATCCGTCCCGACTGCGACGTCTCAGTATACCGCGAGCTGTAGCTTGTGGTATACTGAGCTTTGGGTGACGGAAGGACGCTAGTTTGTGTCCTCCCATTACCCTTAGGAGAACTATGGGGAAAAGCCCTAACCCCATAGTTCTTTTTTAACCATTATTACCAAGAGTAAAAGTGAAAGAAAAAAAAAAATCTAAATTTTGAGTTGCTACCAGAACAGGAATAAAAGGGGAAATCTTCCAATTGAGATACTAGTTCTGGCAACAACCAAGGATTTCTCTCTCTTTGGGATAATTTCCACTCACTTCCTGTGGCTGTGGGATAGGAAGTGAAGGCAAATCTCCTCAATGGGATACATATGGCAAAGTAACCATGACAGGGGTTATACCCTTCTTCTATTCAAAATAGAGTTTTGGCTTCAGCTCTACTTTAATAAGAATTTTAGACTTTATTTCATTAAAAGAGGTATAGACTTCAGAGAGAGACATAATGAAAACTTTGCCCATCTGTACAAAGCATTAGAAAGATCTGATCTTGAATATGCAATTAACGGGTTATTAAACCCTCTGGGGTTTTTTGCATATATCTACTGCTAGCAAGCAGTAGATATATGCAAAAAGTGTTTAAAAAAACGCTTTGAAAAGGGTTAATACTTACCTGTGTCTTCCCCCTGCGCTCCTGTCAGAAAATGTGAATTTTCTCGGGCGGCCGCAAAGCATCTTGGGGTGGGCGCATGCACAGTTCACATTTTTGGCCGTGACGCGAGGAGAGACACAAGGTAAGTCTATGGACGCGTGCACCCGCATGCAGACACTGTGGGACAGGAAGGGCCAGCTAGCTCAGAGGAGTCAGCGCTGGATCAGAGACCCGCCCCAGTGCTGGAGGGACAGATGAAAAGGACAGGAAAGAAGATCGGATTAAGAAACATCATTTAAGGTAAGTGTTTTACTTAACATTGGGGAGAGGGAAAAAGATTTTTGACTTTAATATCACTTAAAGTTTTGGGCTCCAGTTCACAAAAAGGATGATGCAGAACTGGAAAAAGAGCAGAGAAAAGCAAATAAATACATACATAGTCCAAATAGAAAATTGAGAGGAAAGCCACTCACTCCAAGGTTATTCTATGCAGCGAAAAGAAAAGAGGTTTAACCTCTGCATGAGGCAAGGATTCTTAGGGTCACGGGACATATACCAACGTCCTCCCGTGACCCAAAACGTAGGGGCTTATTCGCCAAGGAGCTGAAGGATCCAGCCGTAGCTTACTGGATGGGCATATTTTTTTTTTTTTTAAACTATGTAGCAAGTCAGCATGAAGGTGGTTATAGAGATTAAAAGTTATCACCTAACATGTAAAAACTATGGGTCACCACAAGCATTAGCAGACACTTTTGGTGAATTGATCCCAGCCTTTGACAGGGTAAACTCAGGACTGGATGGATAGCAGCCAGGGTTCATTTTTTGGTCACTACACTATTCTTTCCCTGAGATAAAAGCACTACCAAAAGGATCTGTAGTCTGTGCCTAGTTATGTACATTTTGAAAACATACAACCATCTCCTGTCTATGTCCTGCAACCACTTATATTATGTGCAAACAGTTGATTCACCTCTTTTTTGAATGATAGTAAATTGGCTTAATTGTTCTTGGCATTGAGAGCTGAAAATAATTACATAGCTAAAATAAAGAAAGTGTAGTTTACTTTTTGTGACGAACATAGCCATACTTACATATCTCCCAAATATTAATGAGCTTACAAAATTGCAGATAGCAAAACATCCAAATATGAGACCGATCACTGTGTTGCTAAGTCCCTTCTTCACAGCCTATTAAAAAATAATTTAGAAAAAAAATATTATACCTATCTACATTTTTGAGGGATTGTTTCTCTTTTAAACCATATGCTGCCCCCCCCCCCTCCTTTTCAGAATAATCTGTAAATGTAAAGCTGG